GAAAGTTATACATTTACATTATTTATGGTAAAGGATCTTGATCAAGAGAACCTAACAGAACAGGAGAACACCATCTATTGCGTGAAACAACAGACTCATTCTAGAACGCTGTATCATGTTAAAGAGCGCCCCCTTGTGCTGTCCTGATCAACGTCACTTGTAACTTTATTTGATTGTGTGAACATCACAGAAGTGAAATAAAACGGCATTAAATCACACGAAAATAGAATGATCGTGTGTATTCTAGCAGCTTATGTGCAACAGCAATAATGGCCAAACTAGCAAAAGACCAATAGAAACACCATTCGCAATGGACTGAGATATACCTAATATACATCGACTCTCTTTCTCTCTCTCTCTCTCTCTCCCTCTCTATCTCTCTCTCTCTCCCCTCTCTCTCTCCCTCTCTCTCTCCCTCTCTCTCTCCCCCTCTCTCTCCCCCTCTGTCTCTCTGTCTCTGTCTCTGTCTCTCTCTCTCTCTCTTTCATTTCTCTCTTTCTCTCTCTCTCTCATCTCTCTCTCTATCTCTCCCCTCTCCCTCTCTCCCCTCCCCCTCTCTATCTCTCTTTCTGATATGCACATGGAATTATTTTGAAGCGTAAATGATTTGCCATCATCCGAGGGCGTCCTCGTAAACTCAGAATCAGAGCCATTTATACACAGAGTTCGGCCAACCCGGTTCGAGTTGGTCACAATATGGCGACTGCTGATTTGTTGGGCAAGCACTAAACAAAGAATATACGCCATGTTGTGACCCAGTGAAACCAAGTTGGCCAAACTCTGTGTTTAGATGGCTCTGCTCAGAATCATCGATATATAGTTCGGCCATGTGGAGCACAAAATATAGAGCTCAAGTTGCTATGTTAGGCAAGCACATGACAAATATAATGACTGACAGGGTGTGTCCAGCTGCCATCTGTATTAAATGTGATGTTATTTAAGTACCTGTATAATGTAGGGCTTCCTTGGAAAGCAGGCCATTAAATTTATTTTTTGGGCTTGATTAGAACTACCCTACTGAAATGAAACTTAATAAATAAATAAATAAAATCTCAAACCGAGTGGAACACTTTACGTATGCGTCACGGTGGCGATGCTGTTGAAATAAAAAATAATTTTCACGATTTTTTGTGAGACATTTTTCACAGATATGAATTATAAGAAATGTATATATCCCAGGGGTCAAAGTTAAATACTGTAAGCATGCGTGACCAAGAAAATGCGTATATTAAAGCGGTGTTTTTATTTAGATTGGACGCGATCCGGGTTTTTTTTTTTTTTTTTTTTTTTGGGGGGGGGGGCATTTTCAAGAAAAGGGGTACTTTTTCGAAATCCTGCTGGGGTATTTACCTATAGGTTCCAACTCCGAATTGAATTGTTTCAAAGAAAGGAAACTTATGATAACTGTGCATTAAACTCATCTGTATGTGTACACGTCGATCTGGCGCTGCTTAGTGGCTGCCGGGCTCACGATCAATTGGGCAAAAAGAATTTCCATTTTCGGTTTAACTTAATAAAATTTGGAGTGGACTTTAAAAGATAATTATCATTATATTTATTATTTATTATGTTATTAGGCCTACTTCGCTATTGAAATAAATGTTTACATCGTGAATTTTACATCAGAAGCGCAATTAGGATACACATGGACATGATCGAACATGATACGAAAAAAAAAAACACTTTAAAATCCAAACAGAAAATTGTTTACATTTGCTTTTTAACAATGAGGGCAAATTTAATGACATCATCATGAAGAACATAGAGAGTATATGAAATTTAGACCCACAGCGTTTGTTTATAATGATATAAAATTGATTGAGGATATGATTTCAGTTAGACAGTTGACAGTTATTAAAAGAATATATCAAGAGTTAATTAAAACAAAAATCGAAAAATCTAGAACGGAGGAATTTTGGCGTAATACTTTGGAAGTTGAATATATACCTGTATGGTCGGATGTTTGGTTATTTAAGTTAACAAATATAAAAGACAGCTGACTAATTAATATCAATTTCAAATTCATGTATAATATTTTAGCAATACCATATAATTTGTTTAAATGGAAAGTTAATGCCAATGATACATGTTAGTATTGTAATCAGACAGGTGATTGTATGCACATGTCAGTATGTTTTGGAATGAAGTTGAAAGGACTATAAAGAAATATTTAATGTCTAATTTTAATTTCAAACCATGTCATCTATTGTTTGGTATTGATTTTAATTCAAAGAAGGAAAAAGATGTTGATATTATTTTGAATTATGCACTTTTACTATTTACAAAAGTTTTGTTGGAAAAGAATCTAAAAAGAAAACAACTAAAAAGAGACTTCTTCATATTTTTATATACCTATTAAGATATCGTTTACAAATAGAAGAAAATATTAGAAAACCATGTATATCGCTCCAGAAATGGAGGCAAATGCTAAAAATGTGAATATGTTTACATTATTATGAAGAAAAGAATAAAGAAGACTTGAAATGGTTATTTTACAACAACAAAAAATCAAGAAATAAAGGATAATTGAGATATTGACGATGAGGGTAAGAAGGGCATACGTTGTACTCACATTTAATTGGTTTGCAATATGATTTTTTTTTGTGTGTATACAGAGTGATCTTTGCGTTTTCCAAAACTGCAATTTCTTCAAAAGCATAAAACGGGCAGTTGTGTAATATTTCGACCAGAATCAAAATAATTGGGCAAATTTCAATTATGATACGATTATATAGTATTGTGAATTTGTTATACACGTCATAATGTACCGATCATATGTTTATTACTCTTTACTATATTAAAAAAATGCAGGAATAAAATCAAACAAGCAAATTACTTTGTGGTAAAGGGGAACGGGCGCAGAAAATTAACCAACAGAAAATGTAATTTTTTTTCTAGGATGGGCACCCTTTTTAGTCACAAAAGGGACGCTTATTTTATTGATCAAGGATTATTGGTTCAATTGGGGGAAATATGAAGATGTACGCCCCTGTCATCCAGGAAACTGGTAATCGTCTTTATTATTTGTAACTGTTTATTTAAATGAACATAATCACACGGCTGAAATCTGGGATAATTATCTTTTAGAGCTTACATTTGTCTTTGTCATGTTCACATGCAATGTGATACTAATGTTTTCACTGTTTTACCAAAATCTGGGACGAATTGATCATTGAGTTCGTAACCGTGTTGCTTGGCGAGGCGAGTATGGATTTATCAAAGTATAATTTGTTAGAAAAGCGCATTATAGTTCGTTCACATGGCAATAATCTTTACTTTTCGGGGTTCGTTTTTTCTCCTTTCTGGATCAGCCCCTGGTTGAGCAAATAGTAAATTTACTTTTAAATCAGAATAAAATACTTCTTCTTTTTAAAGAGATGTGTATTGAGCGTTTTTTAAATGTTTCCATGTAAGAGCTGCCAGGTTTATGTACATGTATATGTCACCATGCTACGATTGCGGACATGAGATTTAGAGCCTATATTATAATGATTGGATAAAATACAATAATTATGATGTATGGACACCAAAGAAGATTCTTAGTGATCGATTTGACCGGAATCTCACAGGATTCGAACCTGTCCCATGACAACAACAAATTGTGTTTATTTAATCACATGACAGAGAATTGATAATGTCATTATCATATTTCCCAGTTTTTCCATTTCAACTAACATTATTTTGTAAGGAATTTATCAGACCTTAGTACCCTTACTCTTGTCTTTAAATAAAGACATTTTCGGCAGCGATACAATGAAAATATTTTAATGAGATTGCGTTCAGGCCTCTATTATACTCTGTAATCACAACGACAAGAAACATATTGAATATAGTAAATTGGTTCAATCCTCACAGAGAATTCATAGTTACATGTATTCAAGTTTGTTTTCTTACTATTTATCTCTTCCCCCTCTCTCTCTCTCTTCTGATTCACATTTATATACATGTACATGTAACTGTACTCTATTTGCCCTTGTCCACATTCCTCTCAAATATTGTTACCATGATTACCCCCCCCCCCCCGATGAGAGAAAATGGTGCTAAGGTAGTGACTTCAATTCTAGAGTTTGAGTGAATAGAGACCATTATTGATAATAAAAATATGAAAAACTGATCTAATCGATTCTTAAATTCTCCCAACTATATTATTATAATTATATATTAATTTTAGGTGAATGTAAATTGTCACAGAGAAATGAGTTGGCTCTATAAACCATTCCAAACAATTCAATGTTGAAAGATTTGTAGACGCCTGTTTTACGTCATGTTTTCATGGAAAACGGTTGTGAAAATGTTAAAGGGGGTTACACGTTAACGCCTTCAAACTCAATGAAAATCATAAATATCTTTCTGGTTTGAGAATTTTCTTCAGGATTTTTTGCACACCAGCGGGTTAGTACAGTATAGATGGAATATAATAAGTAACATTTCCCACAAAATTACGCAGTTTTTTCATCAACCTTCTACAACCGTTCACTTTAAAATAAAGGTATTATTGTGGATTTGTGCCATTGAGCGTAGTAAATCTGAAATATATATGTTAACCATTTAATTTATTACTGTGTTCTCTCATTGAATGACAAAAGTTCCTCTAAGATATTCAAAATTAAATGATATAGTGATTATAGTCTACTTACTTTTTATCATGTTGCAACTTGCAAGTGAGAGGTCTGTATCAAAAACTCCATGGCAATCCATACCCATTAGATTTAGGTCTGTTCCTGTTCTCAAGAATGTATAGATCTTCACAAAGTATAGATTCCAAGTCTCCACTGCCTACAGCATTATGGTCAAAATTAACGAATCAAATTATCTCTCGCCACGCGACACAGCACAACAAGAACGCGAAAACTTCCATATCATGCACAAATTATTTTTTTCTCCTTGAAGTAGAGAGACAGAATCACAGAAGGTATACATAATACACGGATTGTGATGGACTCAATATAGACTTCCTGTACTTGACACGTTGTTGCAATAAAGAAAATAACTCGGGCGTGTAACTTGATTCTTGATGCCTTCTTTAATCTCTTGTGGTGTACAAACGTAGTGAATAATAAACTATTCAACAACTGTGTTGGTTACCCTGTAAGCCAAACAGAAAAGAACAAAATATTCATAAGATCAATGTATCCACACATGGAATGTTACATTGTAATTTCAAACCCTGATAAACAATTCCACATTAATTGTAATGAATAAGAAATAATTAAAAGTTTTCCCTAATTATATCATGCTAGTATTTCACAAAGTGTGTTTTGAATTAATGTGCTTCTTCAACAAGAGAATGAATCCAAAGTACTTTGTTAAAATATGAAACATATAAAACATGCATATGTCCTGATCATGATTGCATAACACTATTAACATGAAACGCCTAACTTTAAACCTAGCTAATAAGCGTATGCCTTATCACGCAGAAATTTGGTTGAAATATCACTCCGCCGCCGACATTGTGCGTAGAGCGTTTCCTAAAGAAATCCAAGTAAAAGTAAAAATATAGTTCCCGCAGGAACGTTCCTTGTTCCACAACGTATACACAATTTACATAAATCTGCCTTTCAACTGTGACTCTTGCACATATTCTACATCAACCAAATAATAATTTCATGCTCTTCACTTTCCTTTTCAAGCTAAAAACAAAGGCACTTTACTTTCAACATCAAAGCTCGACAATCAATCAACATAAATCTGTGTGCATGAATGAATGCACTCGAAACAATAAATGACCATGCAAACTATCAAATAACTGCTACTTATCTTAAATGCTATTTAAAAAACATTATGACAAATTATTCCAGAAACATACCTTCAAGTATAGGGTGAAACTTTAGGAGTTATAATGAAGTCTGGAAGTCATACTGGTGCAAATAACTGCTACGAACAAACTCGGACGATTAGCAAACTGCTGTGTATAATGCAAGTGCGCAATTCTTCAATTAATGTTGCTAAGATACCATGTTACGTAGTTTCTTGACCAGTCGCTTAAACAAAAACAATCATAAATTACAGTTAAAACAAATCATGTAGATAAAACATGTCATTTCATGACATTCCAACCCCCTTAAAAGTGACGGGATGTCACAATTCAACGGAGAATATAAACACTCAATTGTGTTCCGTTTAACAGTCCTTCAATTACAGTCTTTAGTTCGTAATATAAGGAATCCGATGTGCTTTCATCTTCTGGGAACAATCAACTGTCAAGGCTAAAAAAGAAAAAGGTTCAAAAAAAAGACATTAACCTAAAGTCACTAATAAGTCAATGTTCGAAAAACTTTTCTATCAGTTTGAGTCACTCTAAATCATCTCGCTCCGACTTCTTCATAAGGAGGATGAGCTTTGTCACTGGTTTTCTCGCGATTACACCATCCGCATTTTTGACATCTACAATCCTCACAAGATCGTCTTTCCCTGGGTACGCTTTCACGACTACCGCCATCTTCCAAGAGCCGCGAGCCTTATTGTCACCAATGATGAGTACAACGTCGCTCTCTTCTAGGTTCTCAGTTGATTGATGCCACTTTTGGCGCGGGGAGAGTGTCCGAATGCATTCCATCCAGCGTTTCCAGAAACCATCTACCATGGCGTTGCAGACTTCTCTTCGCTTTCTCAAATCACCTTTGAAGTCATCGTAAGGAATCTGAGGGCAGGAGAGGTCTCCTCTTCCAATGAGAAAGTGGTTTGGGGTTAATGGTGGATGATCCAGCGGTGATGAGGATTTAGCTGTGATGGGACGACTGTTGATGAGCCCGGAAATCTGCGAAAAGACTGTTTCCCACTCAGCAAATGTCAGTCTGTCAGCTTTGACGAGATGTCGCATTCCCTTCTTCACCTCTTGAACTATTCGTTCCACCGCTCCTTGGTGGTGAGGTCCTCCAGGAGGTCCGAATCGCCACTCTGCACAGTATCTCAGGCAGCGCTCCCTCACTCGATCATGGTCTAACTTCAGGTTCAATTTGTTTATGGTATTATCAGCTCCCCTGAAACAGGTTGCATTGTCGCTTATCAACATGGATGGAGCCCCTCTGATACTCACAAAGCGTTCAAGGGCTTGTAGAAAGGCATCAGTGGATAGGTCGGGCACACAAGTCAGATGAACAGCTCTCGTCACTGCACACGTGAAGACTGCACCATATCCTTTCGTAGTAGTGTTTCGACTCAACTTGACATTCACTGGTCCCAGGTAATCAACTAGGGTAGTCTGGAACGGAGGTGAACAACGACCGACTCGGAAATCTGGAAGGTCCGACATCTTCTGCTGAACAGGTTTACCTCTGTGTCTTCTGCAGATGACACATGCACGGACAACACGTCTTGAGATGCCAGTGTCGCCCACGATCCAGTACTTTTTTCTGACCTCAGTGGCTGTGCGTAGATGGCCCCCATGAAGAGAGTGAGCATGGGAGTCTTGGACGATCAACCAGCTGATGTGGCTCTTCTTTGGGAGAAGGTAAGGATGCCGTACATCATAGGATACTGGTGCGCGGTCCATTCGTCCACCAACACGGAACACTTGGGTCTCGTCGTCAAAGAATGGGTCCAGCTTCATGATGTTTGGATCCTGGAAATTGATTCCTCTCTGTGCGTGACGGATCCAATATAACTCAGCCTCTCGTACAAGCTTACGGGACGGCCACTGTGAAATCTGATTTGTGAGTTGTTTCAACCTCTTGTCCTTTGGCAGATCCCTCACAGACAATACTCTGGCAGTCACCATCTTGAGCTTGGGCCAGCTGGAGAATTTCGAAGCTTCAATGATTGGTGATGCCTTGCACACTGCACTGACACTCAACGCAAATGACTTTGCATTCCGGGTGTGAAACTTTTTCCTCTCGGTGTCCTTTGGGTCTGTCGGGACATTTTCTGGTGTCTTTGGCCATAGCGATGGGTGTAGTTTTAGGTAATCAGGCCCATCTATCACCCGCTTCATCTCGGCTGCAGTTCCTCCTCTAGACACCAAGTCGCTGGCGTTCTGGGCCGATGGCACATAGGCGATGTCCATGATAGGATCAAATCTGGTTGTTATCTCACCCACCCTGTAGGCAACAAAGGCACGGAAAGATTTAGATTGACCCCTTAACCAGCTGATGGCAGTCATGCTGTCAGTCCATATTTTGCAGTATGCTATGTTGAAGCGAAGTGCATCTTTGATGGTACACATCAGTCTCGACAACAGAAGGATGGCCTGTAGTTCTTTCCTTGGCATGCTCGATTGCTTCAGAGGTGTGAGCCTTGCTCTAGCACATACAAAGGACAGCTCTGCTTCAGTGCTTTCTGGGTGTGACCACCTGAGCCACACTCCCATGCCCATTGCGTCTTCGGATGCGTCGCTTGCACCGTGTAATGACACCTCGGGTAACGGTCTCACTCCTTTGAACTTCTCTGGGATCAGGCATCTTGGTATTTCAACATCTGTTGCTTCTTCCAGATCTTTGTTTATGGCATCTAGAACTGCACAGAGTTCTCCTTGGGGGTTGATGGGTGTATCCCAATCTAGGTTCAATTGCCATAGCTTTTGAAGGAAGATCTTTGGCCGAACTAGTATCCCAGACAGTATTCCAAACACATCATAGTAGGATGCTGTCTGCTTCAGGATGCTACGCTTTGTTGGTATACCCTTGTCAGGCCTCACCTCTTTGACGCTCAAAGTGTCTTTCTCCAGATTCCACCTGGTGCCAAGTATTGTAGCTGACTTGGTATCTTCACTTTCATCGCAAACCTCCTGCTCATTGGACTGCCATTTGCGTAAGTTGAACTTGCCCTTCCCCAAGATCTCTGTGAGTTTCGATTTGAGTTCGAGCGCTTGCTTCAAGTCAGGTACGGACTCATTCAAATCATCCATGTAGAACTGCTTGGAGACTACTTCTTTCAGTCCCTCATCATGCGGTGCATGTTCGTGGACAACATGTCGGAGTGTGATGATGGCAGCCGTTGGAGATGGTTTGTCCCCGAAAGTTACTGTAGTGAGCTCAAACACCTGCATTGGATGGCTAGGATTCTCTCTAAAGATGAAACGATGGAACCTGGCGTCATCTGGCTTGATTTTGATAGCCTGGTACATCTTGCTTATGTCTGCTATGACTCCTACCTCCTGTTCTCTGAAACGTAGGGCCACTTCAAAAAGGTCAGAATTTGCATTCTCCCCTTTCATCAGGTAATCATTAAGTGCATGTCCTTGAAATCGTGCTTTCCCATCATATACCACTCTGACAGGGGTAGTAGACGAGTCCTTTGTGACAGCAAAATGCGGAAGAAACCACATTTTCTTTCCTGCAGCTCGATCTTGTCTCAACTCTTCCTCGGTCACCTGTCTAGAAACGCCTCTCTTAAGCTGGTCTCTCATTTGTTTGCAGTACACCTCCCACTTTTCAGGCTTGTTAGCAAATTGCTTCTCAAGATGTTTTTGTCTCTTGACGGCATACTCATAGTTGTCTGGGATATTCTCAGGGGATTTCCTCCATGGAAGTGCTACTTCATAGGCTCCATCTGGAAGTTGAGACATGCTTTGCTGCATGATTTCTGTAGCATTCCTGTCTAGGAGGTCTGATGAACATCTGCACCGCTTGGGTTCCAATCCCATAGTCTCTAGCCCGATGAATTCTTCTATGGGACCGATAGCAGAGACGTTCACATAGTTTGAAAGTCGACTGGTACTGGATGAATGTCCTCCTTGGATGAACCATCCCAAGGGGCAACGAACTGCAACTGGGTCATCAGATCTCTGACCACGTATGAACTCTTCCCAGATCATGAGATGGGTGTTATCCACCCCCAGTAGTACATCAATGGTTATTGAAGGGGCAGTGCTAACCTCGATATCACTCAAGTGGTCATACTGGCACAGATCGTCGGCTTGAATGATTGGAGCATTCCCACAAGGCTTGTCGATCTCTATCATTGTCAGTGGGTAAGTCCGTTTTCCTTCCAGGTCCTCTATGTGACAATCAATGAGTCTCAACCTACGTGACATCGTGTGTCCACCAACCAGTGTTAGCTCATGATCTTGATATCTATCATGCTCCATCCTCGGAAGGATCCCCTCTCTGACAAGGGTTGCTTGGCTGCCGCCATCAAGCAGTATGCGGACCAAATGACGGGTGTTGCCAATTCGAAGATAGCCCATAACTGTTGGGAGAATACCACCTAGTTGAGTTCCTGTGGCAGTAGTTACATTGACCGGATTTGGGCCTTGACGAGACGATCTTGCATTGGCGTTGAACTGTCCTGGAGGATCCCTCGGCTGGCTCGGAGAACTTACATTACTCCCATACACCACTGGACAGACGGCCGAGAAATGAGCATCACTTCCACATGTCCGGATACTACAGGGAGAAACAAACTGGCAAGAACTAAGATCATACGGGGGTTTCCCAGCTCCACAGTTGTTATGTCCACAGCGGTTGCAGATACTGTGTTTTCTCATTAGATCATGTTTCTCCTTCAAATCTAGTCCCCGGAACTTGTTACAAGTTTTCAGATAGTGTGTATTTGATTCCTGGTGCAATACACACTTGGGTACCTCGGGACGAGAGCCCTTACCATGCTGTCTCGGAGATGGATTATAGGTGACAGAGTTAGACGATCTACTGGTTTTGTCATTCTTGTACGGTGTTGGTGCTTCTGTATGAGCAGGCTTGGCCTTATCGAGCAATAGTAATTGGCTGTATAGCCACCTTACAAGGCCAGTCAGAGTATCCGGTGTGCGCTCGTCTCTCACACTTTTGAAGAAAGCTATGCGGTGCTCTTCCGGTAGTTTGTGCCTGATATTGCTTAACATTATTCTGCTGTTCAGTTCCCCTGCAAGACCCACAGTCTCTGCCTGTGTCTCAAACGTTTGTAGGGTCTGGACGAACCGTCTCATGGCAGGCAGATTGACCTTTCCCTTGTATTCGTAAGGCTTCAAGTCGTCGAGCTCCTTCAGTAGACTGTCTACCACCTTGTCTTGATCTCCATAGTATTCATCTAACACTTCCCATGCACGCTCAACGCTAATGCATCCTTTAATCATGCTGCGTTCTCTGCTGTTGACCATTGCCTCGGTGAGCTGATAGAAACATTCAATCTCAGTCAAACCTCCTGCACAGTGGAGAAATAGCTGCTTGAACCGATTGTAGTCCTTCAAATCCCCACTAAAGGTGGGAAATTTCATCGGTGCCATCTTTGGGGAAGGTGCTGATGTTGACTGCCTTAGAGCACGAGATGGTGTGGGTGGCGCTTGACTAGACATTGGCACCGAGGTTCCTGGGCTCACAGGCTCTGAAGGACCTGGCGATGCAGTGTGTGTTGAAGGAGTTGATGTTGAATCCGTGTTGCTTGAGGAGTGCAGGGAGGGACGATTAATCAAACGCCTTGCTTGGATGAGAACTTGAACAAATTCCTTTTCACATTCGGTCATCCACTTCTCCTCCTCGTCGAATTGCGATTCAGCCTCAATGGAGTCGATTAACTCAGCATGCCTCTCCTCCACACGATGAAACTGTTCTTCAGCTCTGGTAACATATCCCTTTAATGTTTCCAAATCATCGGTATCATTGTCAAGAAGACTGTGGATCATCAAAAGGGTTCGAGTCAATTTACCCTTTGTGTTTCTCCTTGAGAGCTTCAGCTTATTGGTGTCAGTCATGATGCCGATGACAGCCAATGCGATTGATTTGAAGAAAGTTCCAGAAACTTACACGAGTTGTTGAAGATTGTGATGGACTCAATATAGACTTCCTGTACTTGACACGTTGTTGCAATAAAGAAAATAACTCGGGCGTGTAACTTGATTCTTGATGCCTTCTTTAATCTCTTGTGGTGTACAAACGTAGTGAATAATAAACTATTCAACAACTGTGTTGGTTACCCTGTAAGCCAAACAGAAAAGAACAAAATATTCATAAGATCAATGTATCCACACATGGAATGTTACATTGTAATTTCAAACCCTGATAAACAATTCCACATTAATTGTAATGAATAAGAAATAATTAAAAGTTTTCCCTAATTATATCATGCTAGTATTTCACAAAGTGTGTTTTGAATTAATGTGCTTCTTCAACAAGAGAATGAATCCAAAGTACTTTGTTAAAATATGAAACATATAAAACATGCATATGTCCTGATCATGATTGCATAACACTATTAACATGAAACGCCTAACTTTAAACCTAGCTAATAAGCGTATGCCTTATCACGCAGAAATTTGGTTGAAATATCACTCCGCCGCCGACATTGTGCGTAGAGCGTTTCCTAAAGAAATCCAAGTAAAAGTAAAAATATAGTTCCCGCAGGAACGTTCCTTGTTCCACAACGTATACACAATTTACATAAATCTGCCTTTCAACTGTGACTCTTGCACATATTCTACATCAACCAAATAATAATTTCATGCTCTTCACTTTCCTTTTCAAGCTAAAAAACAAAGGCACTTTACTTTCAACATCAAAGCTCGACAATCAATCAACATAAATCTGTGTGCATGAATGAATGCACTCGAAACAATAAATGACCATGCAAACTATCAAATAACTGCTACTTATCTTAAATGCTATTTAAAAACATTATGACAAATTATTCCAGAAACATACCTTCAAGTATAGGGTGAAACTTTAGGAGTTATAATGAAGTCTGGAAGTCATACTGGTGCAAATAACTGCTACGAACAAACTCGGACGATTAGCAAACTGCTGTGTATAATGCAAGTGCGCAATTCTTCAATTAATGTTGCTAAGATACCATGTTACGTAGTTTCTTGACCAGTCGCTTAAACAAAAACAATCATAAATTACAGTTAAAACAAATCATGTAGATAAAACATGTCATTTCATGACACGGCCCTTTTCTCTTGTCCACTCTATTAAAGCAATGCGTTGAATTGAAATGAGCTAGCTTGGCATGTTAGCGCGCGCTAGGGTATGGACAAGTACAATGTACCACTAGCTCGAGATAGCCGTCACAACGGCATTAATTTGCATACATGCCGGTGTTGTAAGACGATGATTGGCCCAACAGATGATTCGTCATATCTTTTATGTCTACTTGACGTCACATCAGGGGAAGACCCTTTGGACCGGTTTGAACCAGATATCATTTTAGTTTTATCCATGTAGTTTTTGTTCTTGCAGTTGTTCAGGCTGGTGTTCTTGTTGTTATAAGGCAGGATACGAATGTATCATTTCAAATAGGCAGTGAAAAAAGGGGGCAGAGCCCAAGACAGATCTTAAAATGAAAACTAAAAACAGATTTAAAACTGGTCATACACAGTGGCGGATCCAGGAGTTTCTTACAAAATGGTATGGGGTGAAATCAGTAGCGTGGATTTTTTTTTCAAGGGGGGGGGGGGGCTTTAATTTTGTTTAATCGGGTCGAAAATTTCGCAACGACTCAGTCGGCCCCTGAATAAGCGGGGGAGGGGGGGGGGAGAATATTTTGAATGGCTGAATGGGTATGTCGGACCTAATTTGCCGACAAGTGTAAAATTGATCAGTAGATTTTCAAATTTGATTTTCAATTTCAAAGTTTACCATCGTTTTCCAGAATATGTTTTAATTTGTAAATTCCTTTGTCATACAACCTCTTATCGTATATACAACTTCCTTTATATCGAATAAGTTTATTATTAAAACTTACCACATCACCAATGTCTATACTCCTTATATATCTCGTATTCACCCAATCTTCTAATAAATCCATATAAAATTGTGGAGCTGTCACTTTTAATAAACTTGGTATATAGTCACATGAAAATATCAAATCTCCACCCACGTGTTCAGTGACAAAGTTAAAATATTGTTTCCATTTCATGTCTTCATCTTTGTTTAGAAGTTTTTGAATCCACATAATTCGCTGCGATTTAACTTGTGCAGAAAAATTTAACATCTTTAACCCCCCTTGCTTATAGTCTAAGAATATGGTGTTTCTATTGATTTTATTTGTTTTTCCTTTCCATATGCAGGGGCGGATCTAGCTTTTTGCTAAGGGGGGGGGTTGACCAAAATAATGACGATGCGGAGCATCGTCCACGAGCCGCGAAGCGGCGAGCCGATTTTTTTTTGGGGTGTTTATTTGAACCCCGTAAGTGATGTTTTCCTGGCATCTATTAACACAATGGAGACCATAAAAAGCAGTGCATGATAACGTCTTTTTAAATCAAGTAACAGTTTAATACACAGTTATATCCAGAGTTATCATGTGTTTGGTTAAGTTACCAGATGAGTTGAATATCTTCTCACAATATTTGCACTTGAAAGGGTTTCTCTCCAGCGTGCGTTCTTTTTTCTTTCTTTTTTTCTTTTCTTTTTCCTTTTTTTTCCTTTTTTTTTTTTTTTTTTTGTTGGGCCGCCCAAGGGGGGGGGGGGGGGGGGGTTTAAACCCCCTAAACCCCCCCCCCCCCGTAGATCCGCGCCTGATATGAAATCAAAAGTTAATTCATCCAGTGAATCATAAACCCATTTTGGAACAGGAGTAAGTGACGCCCGATAAAGAACTTTAGAATAAATGTGCACCTTCAATAGTTGAATCTTACCCATAAGTGTTAAATCCCTTTGCTTCCAAAATGTATGGATGTATGGATCGATTATAAAATTACACAGCATAATAAGTTATTTGGAAAAACGTTTCATAAAACTTGTTATCAATAATAAAGTAAAATAGTTCTTACAATCTACTCAACATTTTGCATTTACTAAATAAAGGCAAATTTGTTATAGAACTTAAGCATTCATGATTGATATCAAGCTTTATGAAACAGAGCTTGTGTTGGAACACAAACATTCACCGGAAAAAAAGTGCATAAATATGTGTTGTACTATAAATATCAAAACGGATTGTTCGTATGACTAGCGGTGATGCGTTAACTTCGTTGCCTAACGGAAATAGGGTAAGGTTGTCGTTGCCCAATGAAACAGGATAAGGTTGTCATTGAGTCCACGGCGATTGAACTCTGACCTACCAGACTTCGGTGTGTAAAAACATTGAACATTGATATTACTCGGTATTTATTTGTAATTTGAAATGGTACAGCACTTGTTTTTACACCTTCATCAAGAGGAGTCATTTTTTGGAGTCACATTGATTTATTTCATTATTCTGCATTCAATAATTATGTAAGTATTTGGATTACTTTTATGCGTTTTTTCTTATAAAGTATAAAGTATAAAATAGGTTGACACTGAAATCAATGAAATCAACATCTTTTCATCAATATTTTGTGTAACTGAATACAATAATTTTCACATTTATCTTGCAGAAATATAGATAAAGGTCTATGGTCTAATTATCTAATATTTTCATTTTCTTAACAGATCCCTTCTCTTCCTCTCTCTTCTCTCTATCTTCTTCCCCAGGTTGTTGATTCCTTCTCAGCTCTCCTTTTCCTTCTTTAAATTTTGAATTATTTGTGTACGTTTATTATGAGTTTGAAATGCAGTATGTTGAACAATTCTTTTTTTACTTCTAATCTCGAGTTTTGTTCCCTGTCAATTTTTGTGAATGTATAGGAATCATTTATACAATTTTGAACAGTGCAGCTATGTAATCTGTGTTTGTACGTTTCTGCCTTTGGACTGTTTTTTTAAACAAGGAATTTTCTATATACCGAAATCAATGATAAATGAATGAATGAATGTGCATTATCTATAACGAATGTTGCCAAATATGAACAAACTTATAGAAGAAAATGAATGTATGACTCGAGAAGATAGCTAACACAGGAAACGCCATAGATTATTGTGTTGATGTCACATAAAATTATCATTTATAAAAACGTGTTATTTGGTGGGAAAAACAAAACTATGAAGAAAGGTTTTAATTTTTTGTTATGTACATGTATGTAATTTATTTAAAAGAAATAAAAATGAAACAATAGCCGGGGTTAGGCCTATACAATTTTTTCAAAAAAGGAGGAGGTAGGACATTACTAATACTATCGAACTATTTCATTTTTTTCCATGATGGCTGCCATGCTAATTATACCAGCTGGCCAGGCCTATTTAGTTAGAAATATTGATGCAATGTATGACAAAACAAATGATTTGTTTAACTTTTAGAGCTATTTAAACAACATGTAGACCACAGGCTTTTTTTTTGTTGGGGGGGGGGGGGTCGGATTTTTTTCTGAATAGTAAAAAGTAAAATAAAAAAAGGAGGCGGTCGGGGACGAGAAATACTTCATTATCTTTTTTTGGGGGCCTAAAAAAAAATATATGTCATACAAATATTTTAATTATATCCATTGCATTAGCTTGTACAGCCAAACCCGATAATTATATGGATAAGATCTATCAAGCAGTCACAAAAACGAATGCAAACTGCATTCGAAATATGTGTCTGAAATATTTTTCATGAACACGGACGCGTGCAAAATACATTTTGCCTTGAAATTATTTGTTTTTGTTATGTTAATCAATTAACTTAATTTTGAAATTCGCTTTTGTTTACAACTATTCTCAATCATTACGAGGTATTCACATGGAGAAGCATAATCCATTACAATTGGTGAAAGGGGGCACGAGTCCCGGGGGGAAGTTGAAGGGGGAGCAAAAACGGAAATTGAAAGAGGGTACAATAAATGCCCCCCCCCCCCCCCAAAAAAAAAAAAAAAAAAAAAAAAAAAAAGAGTAGAAGATAAAGGGGAGAAAAGAAATAAAAAGCTTAAACGGCGATCCAACCCTTTGTAACAAGTTCATTTGTGTGAAAGTAGAAAAATAAGATAAACATAATAGCGAAACAAATGAATCGGACAATAATAAGAAAGCTATGAATGATTTAAATATGAGATCACTAAATCTATGCGAATCTCAAAATTGGCAGTTTGGCCATTGGATTGTGACGTCGTCACGGATTAATCTCCCGCTTGTCGTGTACAAAAAAATATCATTAATTTATATTTTTCTCCTAAGTGCCTTCTCCCTCGGGGCACTACTCAAAGATTAGTATAGTATGGATAGCATATTATTATAGGTCCTCTAAAGAGAAGACATTTTAGTCATTTTGTGTGTTCAAGCAAATGGAAAACTTGTCCGTCACTACATCATATAGACATTGCCGATTCGCCAATTGGAAGAGCCCATTCCTAAAGTGACTACAACTTTTATAAATTCAAAACTTTCACCAGTCTACATTTCTTATTTTCTGCTTTCATTTATGGCAGTTTGCTATCAATGTTGGATTTCCTTTTAAGTATTGTGCGCCCCTCTTATGAATGTTAAATTGTATTCGATAGACTGAGATAGAATTGTGGAAAGTGATGCGAACATTTTCCAAAGCATCTTCGCCTTGCTCCCTTGCATGTGCTCCATGATCTCGTAATTTCACTCCCTTTAGGCTCATTTACACATCCAAAAGAACATTTTGAAAAACAGTCGATTTGGGGGTCTACCATTTGCAAGACTGAAAAACCCGTCGAAGTTTGCTCATAGTGTGTTTGGGGTGAGTAGTGCGCATGCGCGACTTGTCGGTGCCCTGCCCTGCATGTCACTATGAACATGACCGACAAAGAAAGCGGACAAAATATACAGTTCCTCAGGTAGACAAAGGAACATCCCTTCACTGCTATTATGTAGAAAGGTGAATATGCATGTGACACCTGTTCTACACATTTTTACACAATAGCAGTGAAGGGATGTTCCTTTGTCTACCTGAGGAACTGTATATTTTGTCCGCTTTCTTTGTCAGTCATGTTCATAGTGTGTCCTGCATTAATTTTGTTAGCGCTGAAGCGAGGAGAGTCACGTGACGAAAATCCAGTATCTCACCGAAGTTTGCTTTTACCATTCTTAGTAGGTCCATGCTTTTACACTGCAAAAATTGGTGAAACTTCGGCGGGCATTT